CCGCCGGTTTTAGGATAATATAAGGTTATTTTGAAGCCTTCATTCAGATTATTTGCATTCAGAGATGTGGGTCTACAATGTATCATACACAGCGGCAGTTCGGTAGTTTTAAACTTACGGGTCAGTATTTTGAATTTTAAAGGTAAGCGTCCACTAAAATGCAACACGCGGATGGCACACATTCTGCAACAGAAGGTCGAATAGGATTAGGAAAATAACCTTCAAGGACCACGCACATTGCGGATAAAAGACGCGAGAAGAACCGCAGTGTGCTCCTTAGTAGTTCGATATACGGAAAGAAAATTGGTGGGGTAGTAGTCCCCTTTAAAGGATTTAGCCAGGAATTTCGTATGAAGTATAGTAGCGCAAATGGGAAAATTGCTGAAAACATTTTTTAGAATACCACCATATTGGTATTTTTGCCACTCTCAAATTCCATCTCAAATATTTATTTGTACATGTGGTGAAAATCCAGATGGACCTTGATGAACAGTTCTATTATTAGCAATATGCATTATCCATTATAGCAGAATCCTAAATCGATAAAGATCTACACAATATTCAAGAAACAACAATGAATTGCATGCAGACATATTTGCCTTAATAGGCTTGAAGTAGGTGTGTCGACACTAGTGCGTGTTTTGAACATCACGTAAAACATACAATCTTCTGTTTGATGGCACTGGGCCGTCGCTGCTGACAGAACGTTTAGTTGCGCTAACCGAATACGACCAGAAATTAAGAAACATTTTTTTTTGTCAAAAGTAGTAATTAACTTCTACTTGCTGACGAGGCTCAGGCAATGCAAACATACGGTTGCACTTCCCCAACAACATTCAAATGTCAGACATTTTGGCAGACTGGTAGGCCGTTTTCAAAGTTATTTAACGGTTTGCAGCTAGAAATAGATCGCTAAATTATGAAACTCACAGAATTAGACAGAAATGTCATATCGTTCTAGATTTACTCCAATGAGGAGGAAAAAACAAAACCCACCTATTCCGAATTAGTGGCGGACTTAGAGGGGGGCGCGGGGGGCGCGCGCCTCGCCCTAGACGTCTGACGCTTGCTTTTATAATCTAATACCATTGTGTTGGTTTCTGACACAGCATGGCACCAGAGGCATACTAACTATAAGTTGTAGCTGTTCGGGGTTGGTGCTGCAGCGAAGCACTATTATATAATTCTAAGATCTGGTTTTATGGCTGCAAGTTGCTCAAGGGGGTACTCAAAACGGACGCATAAAATGGGTACATCAATTTTTGTGTGAAAACTTTTTATTCGACAACAAAGAATGAGAAAACGTGTTTTCCGGTATTCAATCTAAATAATTGGCAGGGACAAAAGCCCTCCTTATAAGATTTTTAAGTATTTATGAGACCTACAAAATGAGACTACATGTAAACAGCTCCGACTAATAGCAAAAAAGCTATCGCCGAAAAACGAGGCAAACTGCAGGTCTTGGCACGTGTTGGTAATGCGACGACGGTTTCTCGCAGATATTTTAAATTCTTCAAATTCGTAGGTTTGGTACTTTTAAATAACCACAACAAAATTGGAGTAGACTGGTCAAGTAGTTTGTGAGAATTTCTAATTGTTTATCCCAAGACATCTGTTTTCCGGCGATCACTACTAGTTTTTTGAGCAATATACTCGTACATGGGTTAGTTCAAAGGGCAGTTCATAGCAAAATACACTAGTTTACCTTGCCGATATGAATCGAAAACTATTCCGGAAGATAAATGTTATTTTTATGCAAAAAAAGAATGGGTTACGTTTTTCTTCTAAACAAATTCAAACATTTCGTATTTGTGAGTAACTCGCAACAACAGATGATAGACACGTCCGCTTTGTTTTAAAATGTGTATAGTAACGTATGTATTTCGAATATCGTAGCGCATTTCGTCGGTCTCCGCACGTACAGGCGTAAATGGCAAAAAAGTCTAAAATCGAGCTACGCCGTAATTTCACATATTTTTTTGTAGTCTCTCACCTCACAAAGTGACGTAGCTGTATATCAGTTCGCTGCTCAGAAATAAAATTCTTAAAAAATTGGGTATGTGATAAAATTTCGAAAACAATTTTCACGTACCGGCTTTAATAGATTTACGCCTCTGCGTTAAAACTGGTTCTACATAATTTTAGTCTAATAAAAAAACAGCAACGTGCAGTGTATTTATTGCTGATTTTCGTTTTCTAGCTCTCCTGTAAAGTTTTTAATGTTAGTTACGCCGGTACGTGCGGAGACCGACGATTTGCTCAATTACTCACAAATACGACAAGTTTGAATTTGCTTTGAAGAAAAAAACGTATCCTTTATTTTTCGCATAAAACTAACATTTATCTTTCGGAATGGTTTGTAATTCACATCGGCAAGGTAAATTAGTGTATTTTGGAGTAAAATGCTTTTTGAACTAATCCTGTATATATCTCAACAAACTAGTAGTAATGTCCGGAAAACAGGTGTTTTGGGATAAACAATTAGAAATTCTCAAAAAACTACTTGACCATTATACTCCAATTTTGCTATTGTTATTCAGAAGCATGAATCCTTTGAACAATATGAAGTAGTTGCGTAAAATTATCGTTCGCATTACCAACAGTGCCAAAACCTGCATTTTGCCTAGTTTTTCGGCCATAACATTTTTTCTATTAGTCGGAACTTTTCACGTGTGGTATTCATTCTGTAGGTCTCATAAATACCTAAAAACCTTACATAAAAAGTTTTTTCGTTACTGTCAACACTTTCGACTGAATCTCTAAAACTCGTTTTGTTATTCTTTGTCAAATAAAAAGTTTTACCACAAAAATTGGTGTAACCATTCTATGCATCCATGTTCAAAATGCGGCCTTGAACAACTTGCACCAAAAAAAACGGACTTTGAAATTATTTCGGGGAAGTTTGCTAATATGAATAGACTATATGTTAGATGAACGCCTACATTGGAAATATACATTTATGACATTTGCTTAGCGGTGCGCCTGTAGCCTGTCCAGAAAATGCGTCGATCGATGCTCAAAGTCAATACCTCATGTCCACCATTTCTTGCCGCGTATGTTTCTATGTTGCTATATCGGAATTCGTTTAAGTCACGGAGCTACTGCACTACACGTGAATATGTGAATACATTATCGAAATAATTACGATCTAATATATATAGTTTTTTCCAAAGATTTCCAACGTTTTTACATGCGATCAACACCGATTTGAAAACTGAGAAAACAACAACTATGCCGTAAATCTAAGTTCGACAACGAAACTCTGAAGAATAACTGTAACATCTATATTGAATTTAAAAAAATAATAGACTATACCTATTGATTTTTTTATCACCTGCTGATATAACAGTGTCTAGAGGAATGTGATGCACCTAAAATGCACTTACCTCAAACGACAATTATGTACACTCCCAACCGTATTTGCTTACCAATCATAAGGCTTTAAACTTTTTCATGTTACCGGCATTCATTTTCTCTTGTTCCACTTTTACCGTGTAGCAATCAATAATTTTGCAGCGATTGGTTCATTGTAATTTTACTAAGCTCTTGTCGGTGGCATTTATCATTTATAGCTAACTGAATCCTAGCGGTATCAACTAAAGACATCTGGGTGTGTACAACATAGTCAAAGACGCTTGTAGTTAAGAAATTGCGATAGATAGAACTGTGTGATGATTTATGTACCTCCTTTGTAGTGAAATCAGAAATTATATAATACTTATTGCTTCTACCAGTCTCACTCGTTATAATATACAGGGTGACTTTGAAGTTGAGTCATTAATTTTCAGATAATGATTGTAGAAGGAAGATAAACCAAAATATGTGTGTAAAAATAAAAAAAAAATTTACCTTGTTTTATAAAGTATCCTCCCGACAAGTATTTCAGTGCGGACCTGTATTTGATCGTGAGGTCTTGGAGCACCGGCATGCCCTCCCCTGTGAGGTCTTAAGTCACCTGATTCACGAGCCCGTTGTACTACATTAACAAAGGCACGAGGAGTTGGTTGCTCTCGATTGGGAAACCGATCCGCATAAACATGTGCCATTTTTTATTTCGTTTGAGCCACGCAGCAAACACCACTATTCACTCACGCGTTACCGACTGACACATTGACTGAATAAAAACATCGTGATCAGCGTTTCAAATTCTTTCGCTTTTTTGTTTCCGATGCGATGAACCGATAAGGCGGATTATATCCGTTGTTGCCAAACACGAGCACATAATCTTATTATTGAGACAGGGCGGTACTCAAACTTCTAAAGGGCTATAACTTTGTTACTATAATTGTACCACAAAAATGTTAAAGGAAAAAACATTTCTTTTGATCAGATCTACTCACTGTTAAAATAAATGACTCAACTTCGAAGTATAAAGGGTGGGCCATCAGTTGGTTTCTTCAGGTTGGTATTACTTTGACAGTTGGTAACACTTCCATGCTCAATATATTGACAGATATATTGTGTCAAACTTCCGCTGTGAGCAATGGATCGTTTTAATCTTGAACAATGGTGGGAAATATTGAAAAACTATTTCGTGAAGCCAGTAATAGAATGGGAGCAAATAGAAACAACCTTTTCTTCTTTAGATTCATTGCCAAGTAATTAACAAAAAGCAGAATACAGTCTCCAAGGGAAGCACCTACTTTCATCAAAATTTCTGTTTATTTTAGGGGACATTCATAAGATTTCTTAGGCACAACATTATAACGTTTAAAATATAAATCAATGAAGAGTTTTGGCAATGACGAATACCGCATGCGCAAACGTTTATCCTTGAATGTCAAAAATCAACATTAACGTTTACGTACACATTATCCGTAATTGCCAGAACTCTATATAAGCAAACTATATAAACTTTGTGGGGCAGAATTTGAATAAAATATAGCTTACCTTCCTATAAACTCATTTTGCGTAACTACACAAAATCGAGAAAAACGTCAACGCATTGCCCAAGTCTCTTGTGAATGAATTTGACTTAACGACGAATATCTTTGTTTCAGGCCCAACTTCTTCATGTGACGAAAGTGACACGGAATCAGAACCTGGGATCCCCCTGAAACGCAAACAACGCCGCTCTAGAACCACCTTTACCGGAGAGCAACTGGAAGCACTAGAACGCGCGTTTGGTCGTACCCAGTACCCAGATGTCTATACCAGGGAGGAGCTTGCCCAAAAGACAAAGCTGACTGAAGCAAGAGTACAGGTAATATTTTTGCAATTGTTTGTAATCTTAACGCAGCATATTAGGCTGCAAGTCATTTCATTGAATTTACTACAAAAATGTAATAAGTAGATATTTGAAATTTTAGAATTTCCTTTTTTTTTTTTGGTGAATTCTTGCACTAGCACTACGTCAAACAAACGATAAACGAAGAGTTGAATAAGTATGTGATGGTCAATACGGGATTCAACCACAAAGTACAACGCACATTTCGTTTCGGTCTTAAATGTTACCAAAGAGTTAATGAGAGGTTTCAAAATGTTCATATCGACTAAGTGTATGAGAAAAACGGTTTGGAAGTAATATGACATAAGTACAACTACAAAAAAATGGCTGACTGTGCCTCTAACCATATTTGCTGGATAAATTAAAATTAATAATGTTACAAATACATTTATCTAGTAGTTATTATTATTCTTTGTAGCGTCTGAAATGTATAAAGATCCGACGAGAAATGACAAGAACCTATAAATGTCGATAAAGGAAATATGAAGTTATTCATACATAAAAGCAGTTTCACGCGTAGAAGGGATCGTTTTGTTCAGAAATTTTCCCCACTTCTACCCGCAATACGTTTGGGGCTATTTGGTGCTGTAGTGCGTGGAGTTTCGGATGATTTTCAGGGTGTACAACAAAAATCTATTTCACTAAGATCGTTGTTGTCCACAACTTATAATATAATGGAGTCATGCGTTTGTTTATGTTATATTTTAAATTATAAATGTTGTCTGAATCTCACAATACTTACTGCTTTCATCAAAACATAAACAAAATCAAAGTCTACTGTTTTCGTAGTCATCCGTCTCAAACCCATCTCCAGACACTACTCGTACACTGTATATTTGAATTTTTCTCACAATGATAAAAATTCGACAAAGCACTGGTCTTCCCTGTAGTTTTTCGAATCGTTCCACGTGTATGTCCCTCTTAACTAGTGTCAAATACACATAAGACAAGGTTCTCAAAATTCACAAAATCGGTCTCCTGCACTCTTACTACTTCTACTGATCCTAGCATGAAACTGCTGCAATATCTTACTCATCATGACCCAAAAAAATAAACAACGTTCAGGGTACACATCAGATGTCAATCGAGACCTTACAGAAAATAACATCACAAATTCGGTCACTCTGCATACTGCTAGGTGATTTCAACGCATCTACAAAGAAAATTCGGAAACGCCATGTTGCCACATCAAAAAATACAATTTTGAATTATCATAGTGACACCTCCAAAAACCGCTGCATGCGCGTTTCGTGAAAAACAAGATGCGGATGGTCATACATCACCTAATACCAAAAATTTTGTACAGTTGTCATAATACAGACTAAAAAGCCACTCACGTGGTACATCACACTTAAAAGTTTTGAACTACCACAACACGTTAAAGTCAGTATTTAGAAAATCATACATTATGTAAAAAGCTTGTTCGATCAAAAAATTCTAATATTCAAAGGCAGTGTCTTATATTTAGTGGCAATTTGTAAATAAAATTCATTGCCCAAAGCCCTAGACCATCTTGACACCTTCTGAGCCACCAATATATAGAGATCAAATTTCTCTTATTTATTCATCTTCGGAGGTTTGGTATTGATCTCCTTTTGTCTTGGACATTGGAACCAGTTCCAGCAGTTCTCATGGCGATGCAATTAAAGGTATTCAGGTATTCATATTTTCCTGTGAAATTATACGATTTGCTCATAGTCGATTTGGAAGAGTCACGACAATATGGATATAAATGTTTATGTTTTATTTTACTCTTGCTCTGTATAAAGGATTTCATTTGCAAATACCATGAACCATCATTTACAGAAATAACTGTATAAAAACTACAAACGTTCTGTAATGGATGTTACCCTGTTAGATTCTCTACTAGTTTTCCAGAGTATTTCTTTTGAGTTATCCAAAGATGCCAAACAATAATTGTATCCTAGCCAACATAAAACTCTATGATTACTAGTTACCTACTACTAACACTTATGTCCTCCTTATCGTGGGGACACTTTATTTGATTTTTCACTTGAGGGTAAGAGGATAGGTTACGCCTTTCCTATGGAAGAGGTCTGCTTTTCCTATCTGAATCTTCCTCATTGTTTTACATAGTTTCTTTACTTCAAAGACTGATTGAGCGTCCAGCTGATAATTACTGAGGAAAATAGTGAAGTCACGAAACCTTGATAGCCACTCAACTCTTTTGTATTGAGGTCAAGACTGTCAAACCAAAGAAGTAGAGGTACCACTCGGATATTCCCCAAGGTTCACCCTTTCCTGGGTATATTCCCTATAAAGTCACGGTACCAATCGGCATTTAGGCTTTAGGCCTGGGAGGAGGCTCACGTATAGAAGTAAGGAATCCTTGAGTAGAGAAATAATCATGGTGTCGGCTTTAAGTAAACATTAAGATGCGCTGTTAGCTTATTTGACATATTCTCTTTGCTTCCAGGTTTGGTTTTCCAACCGCCGCGCCAGACTCCGCAAGCAACTGAACTCCCAACAACTCAACGCTTTCAACGCGATGTCCCTCCAGTCTGCCTTCCCAGTCCAACAGCACTATCCTGAAGCGGCCTTCAACCAGAGCTCCTGGACCCAACAGAGCTACGCCTCAGCAGCTCTGGGTGGTACTCCAACCCTGGCTAGTGCTCTTCCTTCAGCCAGCCTGCCACTGTCTGCAGTCAGTACCAATAGCAACAGCAATACCAGTACCACTCCACCAGCTCATACTCAGAATACCTTGTATAATGGGTACAACGGAGGTACAAATGGACTGGAACAGAACAGCGTGTTAAACAGTGAGAACCAGTTCGGGTATAACATGTCAACGCAAGTGTCACCCAACCAGCACAGTGTGTCTCCTCAACAGAGTTCTGTCTGGGCCCGTCATGCGCAGAACAACAAGGTTCCTGAGAATTTGGCGGCGCCGTGGCATGAAAATTATAGGTAAGTTCCAAAAGATATACTGTATTTCCATCAAAAGCTTCCTACGGACTTCTCGCATTTGGCAACATCAGATACTTCCAATTAATTTTCCCATCAAGACGCTTTACTGTCTGTAGTGAGAGACAGAGAGATGAACACGTATGTTAGAGAGAGAGAGAGTGCAAATAAAAGCGTGCTTGACACCAAGGACAACGAGTCTGTGGTCGCTTTTATACCTGACAAATATTAAAACATGCAACGTTTATACATTTGGCATATTAGTTCTTAATAATAGGCATAGAAAATATGATCAATATGTTTCTTTTGCTAAACTTTTATTTATACCACTAAATACCGGTAACCCCTTTTTCCTGCTAAAACAACATAATCCATAACAGCTTTCCGGACAAAATTATTATATTATTTTATATTATTACTTACACCTTTAGGAGCCGTAATTCTGCATTAAGCCCAAAAAAGCGACTTAAGACGGGTTTATTTGTCAGTTTCAATTGTCTCCTGAAAAATTCAAATTATTCGACTGATCGATTCTATATTGATGGATTCAAATGTGTTTTTTTATATTGATGAATTCAAATATGTCTTTTGTTTGGTCCAGAAAAAAATAAAACTACTTAAGCGTGATCTCAAGACTCTCCAGCGAGGGCCTGGATGGAGATTGGCATTCCTCTTTTTTCTCCAGCAAAAAACTTTCATTTCAGGGTTAACAGCAACACTAATAGGACTATTCAAACTCACACTTCCCAGACGTACTTATGGCCTACTCTTGTTGATGAAGCATATTTTTTGGAACTCTTCGACAGCTGTAATTTTGTTAAGCACTTATTGCGCATCTTGAACCTTTCATGAAAACACGTTTTTTTCCCTCTTAAATTTGAGGCATGATGTAAGTTTTACAGTAACATACCACAGCTACACATGTTCTTTTCAATTTATTAGCTTTCAGATTTTTTGTTGTATGAGAAATCAGTATTGTGCTAACGGAAATATCAACTTTTATGTAGATATCATAAAATAAGGATGCATGAAGGACACATAAGGTGTGTGTTATTTAACAAGCAATATAAAAATGACAGCGAACTGTTTAATGGTCGACTTTCCAACAATCCACGTAGCAATCTTGTCGCTTATTGGACATCATTCAGACGGCCACCATTGTTAACGGGAAATATATTAACCGTAATTCATGGCACTCTACGATTACTTTACCAGTTGGACTGCGGAAACATGCGACACTTGGGCTACTCTTTGTTATTTGTTTCATGCCTGTGCATATTAATTCTTGTGATAAATGTATGTTTTGTTGCTGTTCTATCTTCAGCACTGATTTACAACCGGAATGATTAATAGTGGGGTATTTTCCTGAAAACGATTCAACGAAGTATCAATACATATTTTACAACAAAAAAGGTTATTCTATTTTCACTTCTTTCTGTGAACGCGAAGTGGCTTAACTCGTTGTCCAAAGTTAGCTATGACATAATAAGTAATAAGTTCTATTAAGCGTCAGTTGTTTTACGCACTTAAAAGGTCACTTTACTACTGCCATAAAGGTTATGCTTCCATCAATATGGTCAAAAATAGATGTAGGTATTCTCCGAGAATTTCATATGAATTTTATGATCACGTTATATATATATATATACATATTAATTTTATGAGCTGCTTTCTTGGACAGAAACAAAATATTTAAATGAGTTCTTCTTCAATGTACTAATTTTAAATCCAACTGTCCTGGTACATAAGCATGAAACCGAAAATAAACTACATCATCCTTGAAGCAATCCACGACTCAATGAGGTAATTTGTATTAGTGACCCCTCTCTGTAGATCTTATGATTCCAGGAGGTGTCTACCCTGTTCATCTTTCGCTTTTTTTTCTTGGAGGGAAGGATAGTTAGTAATTTATTCACATCTATGACATCTTTCACTTCTCTACCCTGAACAAAAAACCTAAGAGGCTTTTCAATCATTGCGTTGCTTTACAGTTCTCACGTTTCCTCATGTATCCAAGTATGATCTAAGGTGTTCTTATATCAAACGCAAGTAACATAACTTTGTTGGTATTACCCATAATTAGTACTGGATCATGAGAAACGTAACATCGTGATAACAAAATTACGTTTAAGAGCTCGATTGCAATACCACACGTAACGTTGCTCTATAGCTGAATAAATAGATCGTCCACGTCGACATTACCCTCAGGTCAGTAATTAGCCAATAATTAATAACGTGGAATTATTAAACAGAGCCCATGTTCCCGCATACCAGTGGTACCGGTTAAATAACACCATGGAAGACGTTCATTAAGTACTGCCTCATCCAGTGGCGGACGTGGTGTCTCGATCAGGGAGGCACCCTTGGTAGTTCAATAGTTCATTTACATCAAATTCTAAAGGAAAGGATAACACGAATTTGAAATTTTTACATTGAAAGGGAACTCGTTTAAAACCTCTGTATTGTTAGCCGAATGGATCAGCCAATAACACTGCACTGTACTGTCCTGTGCGTTTACACCACACCGTTCCAGAAGATGTCCGTCATCACATATGCTGGTCCTTTTATTGTGCACAGTGCATGGTGTGAATGAACTATTGTTGCGCCATCTCTCAGCACGAAGTACTGCTAATGCACAAAATAGCGCCGCCGCTATGGTTAGCTACCCACGGTGTAAATAAACATGGTCTTTGATGACAACAAGTCATGTAGGTCTCCTGTCTGTGTGAAAAAACCGCCTTATTACAAAACGACACCGATAGTACTGTACGTAACTTTGGCAGCGGAATTGTAGAAATATGGTATTATAAGAGTATTACCATTACACGTATCTACAGATTTAAGACGCACAACATTTAAGATGCTTCCTCATATATTAAACAAAAAACACGTCTCCAACCTATAAAAAAGTGGCATTGCCATACATTTACGATAGGTACCATATTTGCACAAATTTACATTACTGGGGTGCGTTTGTAAATCACTTAGCAATGTAATACAGTACGTAGTAATGGAATGTTGATTTACAGATCGAATTGTACTCTAAAATACTATGAAACTTTTTTTTAGAACGCTTAAATTATTACAGGGTCATGTAATGAGACTTGATATCAGCCGAATAATTTTAACCACGTTTATTTATTTATTTATTTACTCATGTTTGGGGTGCAACAGAATATGAATTCCAAAGACAGCACCCGCTGCTTACTATAGTGATAAATTAAAAAGATATATAGATTACAAAATCCAGAAGATATGAAAATCTGTAACACAAGCCTACTATATGAAAATAAACAATACTATGATATAGCAACTACTATAAAACGATATAAATTTAAAATTCAATTATTTCAAAAATTAGCATAAATCACACTATTCCATGAATTGTACTAGTCACCAAAAAACACAAACACAGAGCACGTTACTAGACAGCTTTGATAACAAAACATAAAATACTATATAAAAGTATATAAAAGTATTAATGGTTGACAACAGTATCACAGCAAACAAACAATTAGATAGTATTATAGTATGAGTATCCTGTGTAAGCTGTCTCGTTACCGTTGCTTTAAACTTGTTAAAATTAACCACAAAAATGTCCAAATTTATAGAGGTATCGATAAACACCCTCTGGGCCCTAATTACAGGTGAGTTGACTCCTAAATTCGTTCTACAGAAGGGAATCCTGAAAAACTTGGAATGGCGGTAGTTTCTATCTGGCACATTAATATTTATTTTTGAAAGCAAATAGGGACAGTCAAAATTGTTATATTTTGTATATAAGACACACGTCGGATATCATTCTTCTACTTTTTAAGGTCATGATATTGAAATGTTGTCTAATATGATCATAGTTTCCGTCACGTACCGGATTGCCGATTTTAAAACTTAATCTCTTCAGGAATCTATTTTGTACACTTTCAATTCGATTTATGTATGTAATATACTGAGGGTTCCATATAACGGAAGCAAAGTTCAACTTGTTCTGTTTCTGCGACCATTGTAGTTATACGACACCCTAGGGTTACGAGGTAGCATCTATTATGAAAAATATATATTTTGCCAATTTGGATGAGTTTATGGTAACCAAATAAAATAAACAAACATTGAACCGTAATAATGACAAGTGAAATAACTTTTATTCCCAATGCTTTAAGCTCGGTAAGAAAACCACACTTTTGACGTTCCACAACAGTGACAGGTGCGTCAAACAATTACGAACGCTAAAATTGTTATAGAGTGTACTTTGGACTGTCCAAAATTTCTTTTTTGCTTGTGGTTTCCTTCCGTTTTCCGCGACAAATAGCGTTTTTTATAGTAAAACTAGTGCCTGGTGCATATCTTGTTCTTTTGGCAGAAACCATGTCCTTTTAGTTAACTCTGAAATCTTTTAACAGGTTTTGCTTGTTTCAATTGATATATGATAGCACGAGGCACGAAAGGACAGATGCAGAGTGTTTTAAACACGGAAACTTCACCAGTTTTATAAAAAAAAACCTCTAAAACTTACTCAAATTCTGAATGAATGAATATTGTGTTTGCCTGTTGTTATTAACAGTGTTCACGTTGAAAAATAAATAGATTGAGAATATGGCGGCAGCAAACCGTACATAGCGAAAGCAAATATTTTTTCCGTTTCTTATAAATATTGATTAGCCCTTCATAACTCATCCTGTTTGCTGTGAAGCTTTACCATAAGTAATTTTTTATCAGTAAACTTGTCTCTTCCTTCAGGTAAATGACTCCTCTTTTTGGTTCAAAAAAATACGCTAGCTCATATCGGGATATTATAATTAATACGTGATGTGATTTCATGTCAAACTTTCAAAATCCTGGCTGAAAGTGGAGTAATCGGAATGTGTTCCAGCTACTGCGCATATGCAGCGTATCTGAGGATAATAAGAATTTTAGTTTTAAACTGACTTGAGCTGATACAATTGGACACTAAACTGAATCGTTATATCTCCCTCGTATAATCCTAAAGGTTAATCAGCTAGTTGTCGATTTACAGGTTCTACGAAATACTTTCCATAGTTATAGACCACATTTAATACCTTACCTTTCCTAAGACAGCTGGAACAAACTTTTGAAGATTTTAGTTGGATCGTTGAGAACCAAGATGACTGCGGAGGTAGGTGGTTGATGGCCTATAACTATCGAGCGTGGAGGTACTACCCGGTGGATCTCTAGGTCGAGGGCAGAATGTGCGCTAGAGAACGTGTGACGTTCCCGCTTTTCCCTTGTATCCTCCTATAACCCCACAGCCCCTATGTATGTTTAAGCATTATGCTTTGGGGTGGTTCAAGTATAAAAAAGAAAAGAAACGAGTCAGGTTTGGTTCAAAACGCCGTAGCTTCTCCTGGTACATAGGCTCCATGCAGTAAAGGTTATTTGCCTCACCTCTGTCGGAAGTGTAACATCCTTGGCAGAAATAGGGTCACATTCTAAGGACAGGCGAGGAAAAATTTATACGTCACAGTTTTGATACAAAAAGCTTTAGCCGCTACTCGTTCATAGAAAATATCGAAAATACTCATAAATACATTTTTATTGATTTTCCGTCGAAATCAGAGAGACCCCCTGATGTTGCACAAACACTGCCATGCACCACGTTGCCTCCATCACTCAAATCATATCATCGAAACTACCAACGCTACTACCGATGCACCCTCAGAGTCCCACATCAATTAATCAAAACGCAAACAATAATTCATTCCAGTAGCGAAGCCTTAAGACGTAAATAGAGAGCGGTACCTTCATACATTAAATAACACCGTGTAATTTTGCTTAGCACGATTTCTGGTACCACCAGGTAAGTATTCAATGATTGCGTACCGTGGTAGTACCGCGCGGGATTTATTTCAATGACAAGGCGCGCATCCAGTTGGCCAATGGAGCTTTGGGCGGTTCCATGTATTACCGTGTGGTCCGCAGCCGGCGCTGTGCGACTGTGTAATTGGCGGTTACCCCATGTGCATCTGAATAATATCTGGCAGCAATTAATCGACTGGGCAGTACTTAATGAACGCCTTCCATGGTGTTATTTAGCCAGTACCACTGCAGTGGCGGCTTCTCTAAGAAGGCCTACCCTGCTAGACCTCAAGTGATACCTATTTTTTTTGCCAAAGCAATGTCGCATATCAATCTTTGGAATAGTGGAAAAGGTAACTAAATGATAGTCATTGACTCATATCTAGGATTTAAGCCTCATATTGATAAAAGTATCCAGAAAGCTTATGCTTCTCTAAAAGTTCTATATGCTCATCGATATGTCCTCCCTGTTAAACTTAAAATATTGCTTTGTGAAGTACTAGTACTCAGCCATTTCAATTTTTGTAACAGCGTTTATGGGTTTTGTTTAGACAAGATTGACATGGGTAGACTTGAACGTGTACAGAAGTCCTGCCTACTATTTATTTATGGTATACGTAAGTTTGAAAGAGTTTCACATCAGTTGCTTGATGCAAATTGGTTGAATATGCGATGACGATGTGAGGTGCATGCATGTCTTCTTTTTCACCAAATTATGTTTTTTAAGCAACCACCATATTTATTCAATAGAATAACTTTTCGCACCGATGTTCATAACTTAAATTTGCGGTTTCGGGGCCCTGACTCGGTTTTCTAGTAAACAGAGTCATGGCCTCAGGATTTGTTTACTACCTTATGTGATAGCCAAAAACATTTTGAAGAACAATACAAAAAATGGTCCAGAATTCCTAGATGATATGTTGTTCACGTTACGCCAAAATAAAAAAAAAACTAGAAAACCATACTTGAAAAGTATAGAATACATATCTTGCAAAGTGTTAAGCGCAAACAAAATTTCACACTTGTAAAGACTAATAATGAAGTTGAGATGCGTAAAGCAATTAATTAGCTAAAGTAAGGTTTCCCTCAAGGATTGGACCTTTGATTACAGTAGCATATAAAAATTTTGCCATACATCTATGCAAGTATCATATGAACTAATACATATTCTGTTTTGTATAACTTGCTTTTGTTCTCCATATACAACATACCTTCTTGACATTCTCAGTTTCTGTCCGAAAAGTTCGAGTGGTGATAGAGGGAACATCTAAAATTGCCATAAATTCCTCATATTGACGATGACCTATTCCAGTTGGTATGCTCCCCCAAACTGCTGCAGAATTGACAGTTTTTTCCTGTTATTGTTTGGCTCTGATTATATAACCATAGCTTTCTTACGATCTTCACAAAAAGAAATGTAACCTTATGACATGTTTCCTTCACGAAGTCCATCCAACCCATTGTACATTTCCTCCAATGATCGCACACCTTACGTTACTACGACAAAATATGGCCCAAATTAACAATCATCCTGCCATCAATTCTGTCAGCAATGCTTAGGTAATCTTGGTCACTCACTGATTCAAAAGCATAATCCTTATCGTATGACTGTATTGAACGAGGATTTGCCAACATAGTTTTTGACACCAACTGGACAAACCTCAGATAAATTCATTGCTGTTGTCAACAAAAGGCTATGCACATAGTTCATCAACCCAGTTTCTTGGCAACAACCTGGATAAAGAAGCAAGATGTAGAGATGAAAGTCTGGAGACGAGCTAAAACATGAATATGACTTTTTTGAACCAAACTGGGGAAAATGGGGACTTCTATGGAAAATGTTTGATCCAATCTTTTTTGTGCCAATAGCGCAGGTTTTTGGCCTAGCATACATCGACTAACTCAATTTAAAAGCTTCAAAGGAGCTTTGTGCCCCAGCTTGAAAAAAACTAACAATTTCATCTAAACTATACTACCAACTATTACAGTCAATTACAGTCAATACTCGAAGTTGTGGAATTATATACTTACAACTGATCTCAAAGAAACAGTTACCTTGCTAGCAAAGCCTTTTTTGTTCTTTGCTTCCACGCGATGCGCTTACGCCGTTTTGATAACGCAGCACCTATTTTAGATATTTTTTAACAACAACAAAGGTATAACAAACGTCTTAACAACAACAAATCGTACACGACCGATACACTTCCAACAGTAGCGAACAGAATGAATATGCTGAAACGTGGCATTACGGCAAAGAGATAAGCATAGTCACCTCTTATTACGGCCAATCATCCGCCGCGGTGGGCGTGGCCAGCGGAAGGCGGCTTTCTTTCAAAATTTACACCAAATAGCAATGATAGCTCGAAAACCGTGTGAGCTAAAAAGTTGTTATTTTCAGCAATGGTTTGTACTGCTCTTTTTCTAGGCCTTGAGTCAGTTTTTTTTTAACTCAGTTTCCTTTTTTGGAAAAACAAAAGTTGTTTGAAAAAAGAAATGTCAAGAAAAAATGTGATATCTCAAGGTAATCTACTATCAATTTGGAATATTGTCATACAATTTTAGAGCTACACTGCTGTTCGTTCACAAACAACGGTGGCCAAAAAATTGAACAAACAAATGCATTTGTTTATGAAAAAATTGCTAATACTGCTTATTAATCATCTATTTGTGCTGTATGAAGAGATCAGACAAAAATAGTTGAAAATGCTCCTTCAAACAGGCTGTTGAATAAAAGGGACCCATGGCCTTAAGGGGTACAGTGTTGGTACTACGGATTCGGCAAAAAGGGTCAAAGTTGGACTAGTTGCAATGCCTTGCGTACTCATGACCCGTACTATACTAGCTAGATATAACCAGAGCTATGTGCCAGTTGCGATGAGAAATATGATAAACTACTCAATGACAAAAATAGTCATGATATCAATTGCTATTCTACAACCTTGTTTTTTTGTTACAGCTTATTTGCTCCTGGGACCCACTACGGAGCTCATTCACCCACTGAAGCAAAGTCCGGATATCCCTACTTTGGAGCCATGGAAATGTGTTCTAGCAGAGTTCACTAATCACCAAGTCAAATACTGTTTCTTTGTGGTGGATTTAATATTACACTCACGTAGCCATAGGACATACCTTGCACTTAAGTTACAAATTTCGATCTGTGTCCAATATGTATAGTATATACATTATTATTTCGTTTTATTTTTGATACAGAATGAGGCAAAACATGCTATTAATTTGAGGTCAACTTAAGGATAAACACGGAACTCCTTCATCTTGAAGTTAAACATTATAGATTACGAGCTTTGACATCTAGCATGGCGGCCGAAATTGTGACTTCATATGTGAAGATAAGCTATGTGATAGATTCACATACAATATAAATTGCAGATGTTTGATCATATGAACTAATAATTAAAACCCGTACTTATTATAAAAGAAATTCACATTTACTCTAGTATATTAATGCTTGGGTAATTGCTTCCAACAACGTCGCTCTAGTACACCTTGTTATAAGATAGAGAACTATTACCTACATGGTCTTTTTCAATAATTATCATCAAATTTCTCAACTTATAACCAGGAACCTAGTAAAAATGATTAAAATCTGTACCCGAAACGGATTATGTAATTGACAGAGCTCTTATAGTCAACAACCATGTGACTTAACACGCTTTAATTAATAATAGTCAATTAATTATGTACATTTTTATTTATATGTAAATAGGCGTTGATAAAGTGCTGTCACTGAGCTCATTAAACTAAATCATGAATGTGAGTAGCAAGGTAGTGAATTACGTAGACGAAAGCTCAACGATTATGAATAATTGGTCACTATATGTATAGCTATAAGTTTCTTTGAAAGTAAAGCATCCCTCATAACATGTTCATCAATCGCTTCGAATCGTATAGAATAATGCATCACACACTGCTATTGACACTTACTACTTCAGCAATAACGTACTTTGACTAAATTGCTATGACTACCGTATTACCAACGAAAATGTGTTAAGACAAACCTCATTTATGTCACATCAAAAATAACAAGATCACTGGACTTTCCCTTCCACTCGCCTGTTGACATTTAAGTCCCGCGGTCCAACAGGGGCCAAATAATTTTATGATCGCACGCTAATGTCTCTTCCGAATAGACACATTTTTTTTAAATAAGAATGCATAGCTTATAATTTTTGAGTCGTGATTTCAATCATTATACCTATTTCTTTAAACAAACGATTACTTCGTCAGTAATGTATATTATGTACGTGTAAATGTGTATTGTTTTACGGTCTGTTGTCGAAACAATACTGTATCACATCGTTTCTCTCCTTTGTGTAAAATGTACATACTGTAAATATATTTAATTTACTCATCTGGCAATAAAAATATTATAAACATATGTAAAACTGTTTTATTTTAAATCCATTTCCTTGCTATAACTTACCTGGCGGCGCAGCTAACTTACATATTTTAAGCATAACGAGTGTCATATTGTATACGTGTGACATGGTTACAGTTTGCCTTAATGACTACTGTCTGCCAAATTACAGGCAAATTGAGAATGGCGGATAAGAACAACAGAAAGTTGTACGTTGTTCCAGAGAGCGCGTAAATGGTATACTGGACTACAGGTACTCATCAAAAACAGCGACACAATTAAGCTGGCAACGGACGGTGAGCGATAATATAATATAATATTATATCCTGCATATTACAGAAAAAATATCGCTCCATGTGTAAAAATATTGAGACGCCACGCACGGACGCTATAAGATATATTTGCATCCCAGCGATATTGTATATGTCGGGGGATATGCTTACCGAGTGATATTCTGCGCTTTATCTATTCCCCTCTAGCGTCGCGTCACCCGAAAATGTTCTTGCACTTCGGAATTCGCAATAGGCAAAATGGAGTATTTTATTGAAAGTGTAAGAAAACCTCCATGTTTATGGAAGGTAGACTCGAACGAGTATGAAAATAATGAGATTAAAGAAGCAGCTTGGACGAGTATCATCGCTGATTACGATATATCCGATATTATGAACTTGTAAATATTTATTAATTAAATACACTGTGTACAGCACAGATCAGCAGATCAGCCTACGCATAGAAATGCTGAAAAATCGGTAGGTTCGGCACCACTGCTAGAAAAATATGAAAATATATATTCTGTAGTCCGTTGCAGTCATAATATAATATTATAGCGTATTGTACGACTATAATATATATTATATTATCGCCCACCGTCCGTTGCCAGCATTAATCAAGTAGATCTTTAGGGACATAAGGGGCAATACATATCTCTTGCATAAATATTCCAGTTCCATTTGAAAAAATGACTTGGCTTTTTTACAATAATTAATAATTTTCATCCAATTTCTTTAACACTCTATATTATTATGAAAATGTCTAATGACGTCTACTAAAGTAGAACATCTTCTATGAGGAAGCAGTTACAAGTCTTTTGAAAAAGACAAAACCATACGAAAAATTGGTGTAGACTTTTATCGATATGCATTGTGATTTGTGGTTGATTATGTCTCGAAAACATTTAGAGTTAGGTATAGAATGTTACTCGTGAAATATAATATTTATTACACTGATTTAAGCATTCACTTTGTTAAAATATATTTTCTCTAGGACTCTAAGCTTGACTGTTTACATCTAAAATAGTCTTGGGTTCTGTTCGGGTTTTTTGGAGAAGTAGTTGTTAAGACGGTGTGTGAGAAGGCTTTCTTCCGGTGATTTTAAATATCGATCTCACAAACCGAACATTTGAATGCAACTTCAAGTGGAGTCTTCCGTTACATCACATATTATAAAACAATACACAACGTAATCGACATCTACACCTAGTCGAAATTAAGACTGATATCAATGTTTCTGGAATAACCAAATATTTCACACTTACAGAATGGAGAAGCACTGTTACAATAGTCATTTCTATATACAGAGATCATATTTCAGGTTCTTACCATTTCGTATATGAATACGAGGTTTGTTCAAAAAGTATTGCAAATTTCATGTTTTTTCAACAATTATTTATTTATTCATGAATATCTATTTTGTCCGCTTTAAAGTAATCCCCATCAGACATTATACACTTGCGATAACATTTTGTCCAATCCTCAAAGCATTTTGAAAAATCATTTTTTGTGATCTTGATCAGCTACTCCTTCCATGCCGTCTTGATCTCCTCAATCGTGGCGTAGCGTCGTCCTTTCATTGGCCTCTTCAGTTTCGGAAACAAGAAAAAATCACATGGGACCAGGACTAGGGAATACGGTGGGTGAGGCATTATTGGAGTGTTGTTTTTGGCAAAAAATTCGCGCACAAGTAACGATGCATGAGCAGGGGCGTTATCATGGTGAAAAAACCAATTTTTGTTCCACAAATCCGGACGTTTCTGGCGGATTGGTTCTCACAAATTGCTCATTACTTGGAGGTAATATTCCTTATTGACCGTTCTACCCTGCGGCAAGAATGTTTTCGTCGGTTGTTGACGTTGTCGGGCATCCGGAACGCTTTTCGTCGCTCACATCTTCTCGGCCCTCTGAGTACATTTTGTACCACCGATAAACGTTGCTTTTTACACAAAATTTAATGCAAGTTCTTTGATCTATTTTTTGGAATAGACAAAAATCGGGGACAAGCTATAACACGTACCACGCACAATAGCTGTCAAAAACTGACTGAACATTCAAAATGGTCGAAATTGTTAACATTACTGAGGGTCATGAGTATCAACATAACGCCACAAAAAGATCGAAAATCGAACATACGTAGGCCGCGAAAATTAAAAATTTGCGATACTCTTTGAACAAACCTCGTACATTTGCAGTAAAGAAAAAATAATCAGTGTTTGGTTGAGCTCAGATCAACAAAAAACAAGATGGTTGTGGTTTTCGTCAAATTTTTAAGCGTTTTCAAATCAGAGGCAAGTGAGTGAAATTGGCAGTATCTAAATTGTGGGATAAAATATTTGCTTTTAAACTTCACATTAAAAGTTACTACTAGAATCTAGATTAGTAATAATAGCATTAATAATATTTGTTCGCTCAATGTACAAGAAAACAGCATGAGTAAAGGAGTATAAACTAAAAACAGGCCCAATAGGAGAGCAATGCTTGTGCATGGATCAATAATTTCAGGCTGTAACTGTAAAATACAAATTATAAAAAGAGCAAGAACTAGTTACAGTGGATTATGCATTAGCTGGATGTGTTTTCGTTCAAGCACCATTAGCCGGGATATGACGTTACTGCCTGTTAAACAGCGTTTGATGATGGCCGAGTAGAATGTAGAGCCTATTTCAAAGTACTATTCAAACCGATATAAAGCTTGAGGTGATGCGCTGCTGATTCACGGATACTTTTTAAAAACGCTGAGGCCACCAACTTCTAAAATGCGATTATTGATTAGTTCTTAGACATGTATACAACAGGTCTGTGCACATAAAACACTCTTACATGAAAACCATTTATTTCCAAAAACAAATAAAAGTACTGAATCTGAAAATGACGCAATATAATTTACGAAATCTCAACTAAAATATGAACTTCTCTTCTCTTGACATAATGGACATAACATAATATTCTACAACAAAAAAACAAATACTTTCTCGTATAAGAAAACGTGCAATATCTTTCGACTGGCACTTTCGTTACACTTATTACAGATTGTAGAACATCTATTGTCATTGTGAATTGTGAGACAGACACATGTAACACCTACTTTTTTCTCCTTAACAGCTGCATCAGAATCAGAAACTCTGGACAGCTTACTTTTATTCGTCGTCGTATCGTCGCACTTTAGGATTCTTTGCATGACTGGACGAAGCTCCTTAAGAAGCCTTGGCTCCGATAAACGTCGTCTAATAAATGGGGTACTTGTTCTTCGGTATACGAGGCGGTTAAATAAGTACCCGTGTTAGAAATGAAGACACCATTTTTTTTTTTTAATTTATTTTTGTTTTTAACCCCCCACAAAATAGGATTTGCCGAACTCTCCAAAATACTCCTCTGTTTCGGCGATGACTTCCTCGTTGGAGCTAAATTTTTCCCCGAGAGCCATTTCTTCATGTCAGGGAACAAGAAGTCGCAGAACGCAAGAACGAATCGGGGGGTGCAGCAGCACTTCATAACGCAATTCATGCAGTTTGGCGGCGACAAATCTGGATGAATGATGAATGAAAATCCATTGCGAAAGAAGTTCGAAATGCACACGTAACTGGTATCATCGGGTCAAATTTGACCCCAAAGCGTACAAACGTTTGAGGTATATGCGCATGTGTCTACTGTATAAGAAGTCACTGGACCCCACCACATAACTGCGACAGCCCAAAATCTATGACGTATTAAAGATGCGCCGGGTCAATTTTGACCCTACGATACCAGTAAGGGGTTAATAATATTTGTCTAGTTCTCGAACCACATTTTTTCTGAATTTTGATGGTAAGACTATACTTTATCGCATATCGCAAATACTTCATTTCTTACTTTAAAACGAAAGATTTAACTTGCACGATAATATCATTCTTTCTTTAAGGAACCCTTTGCTAGCTATTTTATAGAACTTCAAAGTTCCATTTTTGTTAATACTGTGTTAATGTGTTAATACTCTAGAATGGAATACTGTTTTATACGCTTTTTTTGCTTTCTGCACAAAATGATGCTCTAAATTATAAGAATATAACATACACTGTATAAGTAGTACTAAGGAAAATAGATGTGAAACTGTAAAGATTCGTTGTTTTTTTGTAAAAAAAGGTTCAAAACCAGCCATATTATTACACATTAGCTTATTAGCTGAAATAACAGTTCAAAATACATACGTAAATGATGGTATTTACTTGGTTAACTGTGTAGAGGTGTTATATTGTGATTTTTCAGTCTTCTTGAAATTCCTTAATCATTTCTTTCGCGTATCTTCAATGAGATCAAAGTTTTTGCGTTTATAAGAACTATTTGAAAATACAAACAATTTGAATGGTCATTTTAAAACGTTCATTTCTTCACAGATAAGATACATGATTTCCATTGCTGCCAAGTTGTACGTTTTTTGAGAGACATACGTGACAAAAATGAGGTTATTTGCAAAATAAAAGTCATAATTTATTTTAAATGGCTTGTTTTATGAAAAGTTGACTAGAACTAGATTAAATTTTGAACAGTATGTGTTTAAACAGTGGAAAATGCACCAGCGGCTCTCGTGACATAGAAAATACGAAAGGCACCAGAAATTATTACATATAAAAGGAAACCCAACTTAGATTCGTCGATTTGGACCACCTCGCTAGGTCCACCCAACATATCATCGTCCAGCATTATAGTTAAATAAAGATCAACGACCATTTAATCAAATCGTCAAAAAACT